TACTTTTGTTTCGGACCAATTGTAAGCTTACTCACGTGCTGTATATTTCCCAGAGAACTCGGGTTCGATTCCCGACTTGTCCACGCTTGATTGTTTGTATATGGATGAGAGCCTCCGCGCGGAGGACTATACAAGGAACATATATAAATATGCTTATTTGACTCTAACCAGACTTTGCCCATCAACAGTTCAGCTCTCTCCTGTCGATCCTTAATATAATCATGAACCACTTAACTACGAGACAAGCGTTCTCCTCTACTAAAAAAATACTAACAACTCAGGCCGCGTGATAGCGCTAGTGCGCTGTCACGCTATAAGTACTTTTGTTTCGGACCAATTGTAAGCTTACTCACGTGCTGTATATTTCCCAGAGAACTCGGGTTCGATTCCCGACTTCGACCCTGGCCTGCGCTTTTCTATTTTTCCTTTCCTACCACCTCCCTAACACAAATTCCTTCCTTCCCCCAAGAGGAACCTACATATATACGACATTATTCTATCTTTAAAACCAGTTTATGGCCGTATAGCGAGTATTCGCTGGAGCCAATCCCAAAACCCAAGCAAGCAAGCAAGCAACGTGCTGTATAACCTAAAATTCTATAATATTTGTTTTTTACAATCCCTGGCCTGCGCTTTCCTATTTTTCCTTTCCTACCACCTCCCTAACACAAATTCCTTCCTTCCCCCAAGAGGAACCTACATATATACGACATTATTCTATCTTTAAAACCAGTTTATGGCCGTATAGCGAGTATTCGCTGGAGCCAATCCCAAAACCCGCTTACTCAGCTTACTCACGTGCTGTATAACCTAAAATTCTATAATATTTGTTTTTTACAATATGCTTGGAAGTTTTCAAATCTTATTATATGTTTAATATTCATCTTATTTATCGTTGAAATGGAGAATAAAGAGCAGAAAAGTATATTGTTGCAATGTTTGGAATTTTATTGCGAAAGCGATGATAGTGATTTAACATTTATAATGAATACATCTTTAAGTAGCGATAGTGAAGAGGACGAAACAAGAAATTTTGCAGAAATTATAAATTTATATTTAAATGAAAGAAGAGATAAAATACATAATAGACCTCGCGTCGAGAATTATGTTGAAAGAATTGTTCTTATGAGAAAGAACTAATGTTCTTCCTCCTTTTCTAATCGTTGCTTTTCCGCGCATTTCTGACGTCACGTAACTAGGATGCTCATGGTGACCTACCTTCCAACCAGGGGCACCGTGAGCGCTGAAACGTCACGTATCTATGACGTCACTTTGTTCATTAGAACACTGCGAGCGTGAATCGGACCGGCTGTGAACATGCTGTTAGCGCTGTAAGCTTGTTCGGACCGCAGCCTATATCTATGCGTACTGTCATCGATATTTATTCCTCGGTCCGGCCGGGGATAACGGAAATGTCAAGCGTTATTTAGAACGGCAAACGGAATCTCTTCGGCAGCTAATAACGAAGATCAGGATGACTACGAAATACTTGAGCACCGGTACAAGACAAATATTTATATTGCATATATTGTGTGATATACCGGAAAATTAATAAGGACATTTACAAACGCGTAGTTCTTTCTTTCAGGGTCCGTCCCTCCACCCCTCATACCTAGAAAAATACGCTTGTACAGTATGCGTTTTTGCCCATACGCGCAAAGGGTACAACTCGTGCTGGATGCCAAACAAATTCCGTAAGAATACTCGTGATGTAAGCTTTTTTTAGATGTATTACATAGGATCAGTTTCTTTATATAGAGTATTTTTAAGAAAGAATTTAAACAAAATTATATAT